ATATATGACCCTGCGTGTGTTGTCTTCTGCAATACCACCAAGAAATGGTTCTGCAATGGGCGAGGCAATACTTCCGGCAGTCATATAGTCAATCATTTAGTTCGGGCAAGGGCCAAAGAAGTCACGCTTCATAAGGACGGTCCCTTGAAGGATACTCTTCTTGAGTGTTACGTCTGTGGCTCTAAAAATGTTTTCCTTTTAGGCTTTGTTCCTGCTAAATCAGAGTCGGTGGTTGTGCTCTTATGTCGATATCCATGTGCAAACCAGAACAAGAACATGTATTGGGATCCTACTCAGTGGCAGCCTTTGATACAGGAAAGACAGTTCCTTCCTTGGTTAGTGAAGGTTCCTAGTGAAGAAGAACAGTCGAAGGCAATCCAAATAAGTGCACAGCAAATGAATCGCTTAGAAGAAATGTGGAAGGATAATCCAACAGCAGCAATACAAGATTTGGAAAAGCCGGGAATCGACGAAGAAATTAATCCTGTTCTTATCAGGTTAAATTCTTACTTAATTGTTATTCTTAGATATGAGAGTTCACTTCACTATCGCGATACGTTTACGCCTCTTGTTAAATTGGAAGCTGCATATGACAAGAAGATTAAGGAATCGCTTAAGTTGGAAAAAGTCATGATACGTTGGGACACTGGCTTGAATAACAAGTTGGTGGCTTATTTTCGCATACCAGGAGCAAATGAAGGTTAGCAGTTTGCTTATCATCAGCGTGTAGGTCCTGAGTTACGCATAATGCATGGGGATGAGTTAATATTAAAGCACCAAAGAAGCCCTGAAGAAACTTGGACGGATGTTGGGCATGTCATTAAAATTCCGGATAGTAAGTACATATTGCCACTTGTTACTCTCTTTCCCAATCTCAGATGTCAGTGAGGAGGTTGTCCTGGAGATGAAACGCCCTGCCGATTCTGCGCCTACCGATATAACAACCGGCTATGTTGTCGAGTTTAAGTGGAAATCTACTCCATTTGATCGTATGATCAGTGCAATATCCGGAGTCCGAGAGGATCTCTTAGATCTGGTGCCCAGCTATATATTTTACCGAATTTTAGGGCACGAGATGGATGACATGGTCCTGAAATGTAATCTACCCAAGCGCTACTCAGCTCCTGGTCTCCCCGAGTTAAACCATAGTCAGGTATTTGCTGTAAAAACGGTCCTCCAGAGACCTCTCAGTCTGATTCAGGGCCCGCCTGGAACAGGTAAAACTGTCACCTCTGCGACAATTGTATATCACCTCAGCCAAATTCATCAGAAAAAAGTTTTGGTGGTTGCTCCTAGCAATACAGCGGTTGATCAATTATGTGATAAAATTGACAAAACCGGACTCAAGGTTGTTCGTCTGTGTGCAAAGTCTAGAGAAACCTTGGCATCTCCCGTCAGCCGCCTCGCATTACATATTCAGGCTCAGAATGTGAAAGGACACACTGAATTGCGCAAACTTCAACAACTTAAGGACGAAACAGGGGAACTTAGTCAAGTAGATGAGAAGCGCTATCGCAAGTTAAAGAAGGAGCTTGAGCGTAAGTCTTTATCACCTTGTGCT